CTGTCTCCAGCATAAAAGTCTGTTGCATTCATCGCGCTGTTCTCCTTCCCAAATCTTCTAAAGACTTCTTCCCACATATCTCTTGCCTGCATTCCTTGGCTGTAAATCTAATTTGGAATACCATCAACAGTCAGCTTAACATCAGTGATGTTGGGATTAAACGTCTTTTCACTATCTCTTGTTCCTGCTGTGTATGTCTTATAAAAGAGAAAAAGAGACGCCCCTTCATAGACCTCCTTGGAACATTGATGCTCTCATTGATGATTGTGTTGGAACCTTTATCTATTGAGATTGTCTTGAGATGAGTGATATGCTCATACACAAACCTCTTTCCATTTTTGTAGTTAGAAAGGGCTTCATCAGCGAGTTTTTTACTGTGAATGACTTCATACTCTAGCTGGATGTCAGTCAATTGATAAGAAAGTTTTGTTGGGTCGCATCCCTTCACAACACTACCAGCAGGTGCAAGCCTGAGCTCGAAGAGAAGCTCATCAGAAAGAGCTCTTGGAAAGAAGACTCCATGATCCTTCAAAATGTCATGATCCAATGGAATCCTGTACATTTTCCCATAAACTGCATTGAGCTTATTTTCTTTATCAACGCCCAAAGTCTTCTTATCTCCAGGGTTGCATCTGATTTTCGAAAGATCTTCAGACTGAATACCTTCTCTGAACATGTTTGCCTTTTCATTCTCAGTCAAGAAGAGGTCCTCCCAAAGCTTGAATAAATCATAACCATCAGTGTCTTGCACAATTTCTCCTGCAAACTTCAAAGTCAGTCGATCAACAAGAGCTCTTGCTACATTGTTCACGAGGAAATTGTTTGCATGCCCACTGACTGTCAAGTGGAAGACGAGTGCGAGCGATCCAGGCACAAGTACTACCCCTTTATCAAGCTTTGGAACTGGAACCCTAAGGACTTCACCAGGAGAAGCACTATTCGGGTTGAATGTTACTCTGTGAATCACACGGTCTCCCTTGAGAGCATTTGACATCTTTTTTTCAAAACTCGGGCCACTTCTTTCACTGACTTCCATTTTTTATAAAAGATATTTTAAAAAATGGCAGACCTTGGAGATACTGATCCTCTGTTAGAACATAATGATAATGATGATGAAGAAGATGAAGATGAAGGAGACACAACGACACCTTTTCAACCAGACGAGAATTCAACTCCAAGGCCCTCAGGCGAAGAAATTCCAATGATGACAATGAACAGGGAACAAGAAGAGGGTTCAAAAACTGTCGCTGTCGCTTTTGCTCTTGCTAACGCTTGTCTTCATGGTCTCAGAATGTACCTCAGTTGAAGTCTTTCGATCTGATAACTGAGAAGTAAGTCTCTTGATTTTCGATAAGCCCCCATTCATATGCTTAACTCCGACTGATTTCATATCCAAATTCACTGATTTATTGACCCCAAACTTCATGTCAGAACTTGCCTTCTTCAGCTTGTTATTATACCCAACTGTGCTCTGTGTGTTCAAAAGAAGATTTGAAGGCATCAGCCAATTACCTGGTACATAGGGGTATATCCAAAGCACCAG